ATACTTCTTAAAATAGACCTACGTACTTGATTTCCTCTGCCACTTCTTGGCTATCCCTTTCCGTTTTAGTGCTCAGGCTTTGCCGCTTTTGCTCACTGAGTAGAACTGAGCATCACCTGATCATTACATAATCCATATGACTCGCTCACTGAGCGTCACCTAAGCGCTCTGACTAACTAGCTCACTGAGCACCACCTGATTATTACATAAGCTCAAGACTTGCTCACCGGAGCAAAGCACAGGGAGCAGCTAACTCAGCAGCTCACCTCAATAAAATGCACCACGCTAGCCCCATCCAAATGCAGTCGTTCACCCGGCACTCTTGACCGTTGTCCCCTCAACGAAAGGCTGGTGTTATCAATTTGGCGGTCGATCCTGGTTATTACGCCTCTACCTAGAAGGCAAATACACAGTGGGGCCATATTATTGGCTTTACTATTCTGCGCCTATACCACTATTCAACCTCGCCGAGCTCTATATAGTTGCGGAAAATACCCAACCCTCCATTTTTGGTTCTACAATATCTAGGAATATCTTAGAAAACCCTAGTTAGATGGTTTATAAATCTAGTTTAGTATTTTATTCTGATTTTTTTAGTTGATTTTTTAACGGACTATCGCTCTTGCTCCCGACCGCTTACTCCTAGGAATACGACTTCAGCTCTAGCGATAGACATCCGCAAAAATATTCTAGACCTATCGATTATGCTTACTGTATGATCTAGCCGCCTATAACGAAATTTGCGGCCCCTCATTTGTCTAAAATATTCTAACTAGTAATCAGAAAATACCTTATTCTAGCTAAAGTCTGATAGGACTTCCTAGGAGCTCTCAGACATTTCGTGCCACCACGATATGATTGGTGAGATGATATAGATCCTAGGAGCTTAAGTGCTGGTACCCACTCGCGAGAGCCGTGAGTGCTAACGCTGAGAGTCAAAGTATAAAAAAGAAACACTGATCCCTCCTAGAGTGAACATATCCAGTTTCAAGCATTTCTACTCAAGGTCTCATGAAGTCTGCTCATAAGTTCAGCAGCCTTCAGTATCCTGGGTCTGTCTCTTGTCAGCCCCTCAGCAAGAGCAAAAGCCTAACTATTATACAGATTGTCTGATGCCATAAAGAAAACCAATAACCTGGTCGATATTCAAGATCTCCTATTCGATGAGAGTTGCAGGACCGTTTCCTACATAATCCTGAGCTCTGAGTTTGTTATATATGGCCGAGGCCTAAATGGAAAGATGTAAGTGACTCTCGCAATTTTACCAGTGGGAGCGCGAGAATTTGCAGGGGGCCTGTGGCTAATGTGACTATATATTATCCGTCATGCCACGATAATCGAGAGCCTCGCGTACCAGTTTTCAGTCTGTGTCATTCCACTCTGACTTATAGGCATCATTTTGCCCCCTGGCCCTAGCTTGTCCGACCATGCTTCTTCCTGTCGTAGGACTTAAAAGCCTTCAATCGAGTCATGGTAATCGAGAAAATCAGAAGAGCTTATCTATTGAAGCGAAGACGTGGCATCCCGGTTTGTTGACCTATTCAGACTTGACGAGACAACCAAAAGGCCGTTTTCTATTCGCTGCCCCTCAGTGTTCCGGCTTCATATTGCAGACCTGGATAAAAGTCTCTAGAACTGACAAGACACCCGCTAGTTATCTTGTTATATTTCCTATGTTTGCCAGGTCGATGCTGTTGGATTACACTGTTTTGATTTGAGGTTCGTGCAAATTAGGACCCAAGTTGCATCGTCGAAATTAATTATGCACTAACTTAGAAGGGGAGAGAGGGATGAATAATCTATGAAATAGTAGGGTATTTATACCCTGTAGATGTAGCAACAAGAATACTAGTCGGCCGGCAGTATTTTCAGTAATTTTTCCAGTTGGTCTTCTCAAAGTGTTTTTTTACCTACTAAGCCTAATCAGGAATTTTCTGCAACTTTATTTCTATATTTAAAGGATAACATTGAACCTTGCATCCTATTCTTCTTCTCCATTCATTCCAAGTTTCAGTCTCACTACTTTGTTCTTCTTAATTCATTCTAAGTTTCAGTCTCACTTCTTTGAATCTCATTATATTCGATTTATCTTCTTCAAACTTACCCACCATGTCCCTCCAAGCCATTCCCGAACATCATCCAGATCTCCCATCCGGTCCTGGTGTTTTCACACTAGAACAGATACGATGCCTTGAAGAGGCTGCAATCCTCCTTCCCGAGCCTCAGCCGAATACATCCACAAACGCCAGTGGTAAAAGAAAAGTTTCCGCTGCATTCAGTGCACCAAGATCTGTGTCAAGCTCATCCACCTCGTCGTCGTCGTCTTCTGCGTCTGTTGCCACCCATGGTTTCCAGCCCAATGTCATCCGAACCTTCGACATCCCAATGGCAGAAGAAAGTGTCGAGGTGCTTGAGTATATTGGGTTCGTACCGGATGTTGCCAGACTGATCTATGACCGATATTGCGGCCGCCCAAGTCCAAGCCAAAATCCTGATGACCTAATGGCATATGTCACTGCACATCTCGCCTCTCTTAGCCGACGACAATACGATAACATGAGCCATCAGGAGGCGCTCGCTGATGTTGGTCTTACTCGCCAAATTCAAGGAGCAATCACGGACCCGAGATTCTCACACATCTTCGGTACCCAGACCCTCACTTACTGGGCACAAGATACCGTTGAAACCAACTATGCCGCTCTTCTTCGTCAACAGCAACTGCTACAAAGTCATGCAAACAAGCGCATAGCTCATAAAAAGAAACATAAGCGGCCCAGGCATGAGCCGAGCCGAGAAGACCAAGACCCATCTGAGCAGCAACCCGTGACCGCAACGATCAACATGACACCCCAAGATTTCCAGTTCCCAGACACATATGTGATGGTTCAGCCTGATGCCAATATCCTCGCCGATCACATTTCTTTATACAAGGGCAAGGCATATGATGAATTACGGCCAGCGGGTGATATCATTGAGAGTGATGGAACAGTCAACCTAAGACCACTCAGCACATACCCCGGCGGAGACTTCAATTTCGATTTTAATGCGCAATACTGGACCTCCGAAATTGAAACGGCTGAAGAGTACCGCAAATTTGCAGAAAGGAGAAGCCCTGCAGCCGATACCTGCATTATTCACATTCAGGTTCAGCGACCATTCATCAACAGCCTCCGAATGGAGAATCTATGGTATTCTCCCAACTGGAAAGAGTACATCTGGACTTGCAGGAGACGGGCTACCCCTCACCCGAAATTCGACCACCTCTGGCGACCTGGGCAAGCTGATATTGTCAGGGGCCCCATCTGTTCTACCCTCAGCACACAGCTAGTCCACATCCGCAGAGAAAACATCCAAAGTCATATCACTGAGGACAACGTGATGCGATTGCTGTCTGGGAGAAAGGCCACTCGGTGGGTATTCGTTCAACGCGATGTGATTGATCGGTTAGCAGAACACATTCGAGGGAAAATGCATTTCATCATTTTCGAAGCCGCAGTTCGTTTCTCATGACATCGGTCTAGGGCCCACTTTCCGCTTTGATTGCAGCCGTTTTTCGGGTCGTTCTTTATTTATCTGTTGACATGTTTCTATCTCGAAAAATATCACCCTCTATGTGACGATCTGAGAAGGATCGTACTTGCCAAACGGGGCAGGAGCGGTCACGTCCTCGTACTTGCCAAACGAGGCAGGAACGACTATGCCCTTGCACCTTCCCAAGAGGACGAACGAGAATTAAGCGAGACAAACGCAAGGGTATAAGAAGGGAAGAACGCGCACTCAGATAGTTTCTCTTTTTCCTTTTCTTCTTCGTACTTAGAATTTGATTGGAATTGCACTCTTTTCTTCTGAATCGAATTGGCTCGTAACACTCTACGGTGAAAATTTGCAACTTTTGCATGGCTACCCCCTAAATTTCCGTTGTTTGCGATGTCTGTCTGCCCATCTCACTAGTCAAGCCACCTTGCTCCTTACTAGCTGCTCTACAGACGGATATTCCCCTATCATTCCCTCAGCTGTGTTCTAGTTTATTTTTTATTTGCAACTTTGCTTGGGAAAATCTAAACCCATCATTATTCAAGATATATAAGTTAATATAGGTTATAGACAATAGGAAGTGCCGAAGGTGTCAAACTATATTGGGGCCACCTCAGGCTGTAGAGTACATTATATAAGAATGCTAAGTAACTAACCCGGTAAACCTTTAATTGACTAGATGTTTAAGACAAGTGCTAGTTTGACATATGACTTTCCATGTTTAAACTATTCCCATTCTGCTTTGCAGGTATGCTCTTTTATCGCTTATCCTAAGCTGGCAGATTTTGTCTCGTACTTTGGATAGTGTCTCGCTGGGATAAGAAGGCTAGAAAATCCCCAGCGATAATAGTGAAAGTCTTATTAACCCCTAAGGGCCAGTTCTCATTAAAGCACTAACCTAAATTAGGCTTATTATGCTTCCTTAAAGTATCTTTATATAGCTAAATTACATTCTAGAACTCTAGCTCCTTACCCTATATTCTATCTAAACCTATGCTAATACGTAAGTCTAGTGTACTAACCTAGATAGTATCGATCTAGTCCCCTACCGAGGTAAAGATAGCGTCGAGGTTCTTAACTCTAAGTTCTAACTTACACTGTGTAGTCTGGGTTTCGATTCCCTTTGAGCCACTTTTGGTTGATTTTGCACTCTACCGTCCAAGCCTCAAGGTGCCGTAGAGGATGGAAACAAAAACAGATCGATGTCCTGTTAAGTAATTAGCCACGCACAATCTCCACGTCGCAGTGCTCTCACATCGTATCTTAGGCCTTTTTCATTTCTATCCTCGTGAGGTGGGATAAAACTACCAATCCTTGCTCCCGTGGAAAGATATAGTTGAAGAGCTAGCGTTATGATAGCCTTAAGCAATCCGGGCATAAACCGGCGATGATCTACTCGCCATATAGAAGATAACACTCGGAGAAAATCCTTCCTGGTAAAGCCGTGGGCTGGATCTTCGACATTCTTAATCGTTCCTTCGTTTTCTATCAATGTTCTCTTTACCCACTATACCTAAGTTAGTTTAGCTTCTATTCCGGAACACAGAAAGTAAAATCTATATAGGAGCTTATACTAGTTATCTCTTTCCGGTCTTCTAATAGAATTTTAATTTATATTTTCTCTTCAAATCCACTAAATAGCCTCTCCGCACAATTGAGAACCGATGTTATCACTAGCCGTCCATTTTTACTTTTTTTTCCCTCGCGCCGAATGACTGTACTACCGGAGAAATTCTTTAATAAGTGTATGGTCTAGAACCGTACAGCTAGGACCTAATTTATAGCCCTCGATTCGATGCAGTGTAACGAACCTAACAGCAAGTAAGTAACTTATTCGTTAGATATACCTTATATACAAGTGAATATCAACTCACTTTATCTAAAGATTAACAGTATGGTAGTATATCCTTTTGGTCTTAGGTATTCTTTTATCTTTCTCTCGAATGGAATCTTTATCTGTATAAGCGCTAAAAATATAGCTGCTCTCTTGCAGCTGTTTATAGCGCTTCTCTTTGACGATCTTATCTTGATAAGCAAAGAAGGTTTTTCTACCTATGGCTAGATTCCCACAATATGTAGAAAAAGGCGAAGAGTTAAAAGGATGGAGTAGAAAACCGATTAAGCTATCTTGTAGGTTTAGAGCAAGGAAATAGCTCTAATTTATAACTCATAAAATGACCTAAAATTTGCTCCTGTATCGCCCCGTTATAGATAAGCTCGGTGCCTTCCAATTTTGCGTCATCGTGTTTTAGTGCGTTATTTTTTGAGGGGATCGCGTACCTCAAGAAATCGGGGTATGGTGAGAAGTGAGGGCCATCAAAAAGTGATCGCAAAATAAACAATATTGTGGGGCAAAGTGCTCCTTTGGGTATGGACTGAGCGTGGACTGAGTGCTTAATAGATGGCTCTGATCAGCCTGAGCAATCAGTGAGCAATCAGTGAGCATCCAATCACAATCACTGAGCGCTTCACTGAGCGCTCATTGGACCTCACGTCTTTGTCACGTGATGTAGCTGAGCAGCTGAGTCTGAGCCCGGACTGAAATTTACGCAGTGAGCCTGACTCTGAGCGCCCTCGTAAAAGCGGCGGCAGCTAAGATAGGAAAGCCCCACCCGGCAGAGGAAAAATGGTACGTATAGCTACTTAGGTACAACGTGTCGAGCCTCAAAGCTTGTTTGCAATGGGAAGATGCAGATTTTTAAAACAACTATAATCCGGCCTCTTGCCCAGTGTTTTTGCTTTGGATTTTCCACATGGAATCAGTCTGTCCAGACAAATAAATAACTACAATCTACTCCGTACACATACTTACACCTGCCATTTGCACCGCCACACCGGATCAGTATTCCTCCGTCGCCACATACCGCCACAGCGGAACCGGGCTGATCGACAGCGGAAGTGACCCAAATGAAATACGGAGCGGACAAGTTACGGGGATGGACTCATCTCGACTTCGCGTGCTGCCCGGCTCATTTATCATAGGATCTCTAATTTGAGCGCTATTTTGTATGTTGTCGCGGTTCAATCGGATAGCTCCGGTCCCCCACCAACCAACCAGTGCTGACAAGCTCCCCAGAATTCAAATCCCTCAACACAACACCCAACCCCCTGTTTTCCAAGAAGCTCCCACGAGCCCGGAAATCCACCATCCGACACGTTGCATGGCCAATGCCCCATAATCGACACGCCAGCATAACCGGGACATGGTTGTGTGACGCTGTGCGTCCGATCGCGAACCCCCTGAGGTGATAATCCCGCGTGGCATGCGAGGGCGCACCTCGACCGAAAACCCCCGCCATACTATAGTCGTCTTTTCTTTCGCATCCGTGGGCTGATAACCGCACTACGCTATCATCGCCGCTATGTCGTCAATGCGAGGGCTTGTGCAGTTCATTGCTGATCTGCGGAATGCCCGCGCTAGAGAACTCGAGGAGAAGCGCGTGAACAAGGAGCTGGCCAATATCCGGCAGAAGTTTAAGTCTGGCAATCTTAATGGTTATCAGAAAAAGAAATACGTTTGCAAATTGCTCTATGTCTACATTCAGGGTTACGATGTGGACTTTGGCCATCTCGAGGCTGTTAACTTGATTACCTCGCCTAAGTACTCTGAGAAGCAGATCGGATACTTGGCTGTCACGTTATTCTTGCATGAGGAGCATGAGCTGCTTCATTTGGTTGTCAACAGTATTCGGAAGGATCTGCTCGATCATAATGAATTGAATAACTGTTTGGCCCTGCATGCTGTGGCCAATGTCGGTGGTAAAGAGCTGGGAGAAGCGCTCGGCTCGGAGGTTCACAGGCTGCTCATCTCACCGTGGGTTTAGAACGGGTTTTGTTTTGTTTATGATTATTCTAACACTTCTCAGTACCTCCAAATCTTTCGTCAAAAAGAAGGCTGCTTTAACGCTGCTTCGGTTGTATCGCAAATACCCCGGCATCGTGCGAAACGAATGGGCCGAAAGAATCATATCGATCATGGATGACCCTGATATGGGAGTAACGCTCTCCGTCACCTCTTTGGTCATGGCACTAGCTCAAGATCTGCCGGAGGAATACAAGGGCTGCTATGTCAAGGCTGCACAGCGGTTGAAGCGGATTGTGGTTGACAATGATATTGCTCCCGACTACCTCTATTACCGCGTACCATGTCCATGGATCCAGGTTAAGTTCTTGCGCCTGCTGCAATATTATCCCCCATCAGGTATGTTTAGTGCTGTAGCAAATCATAACTCGGTTTCTCACATACAATTACAGAGGATAGCCATGTTCGCGAGATTATTCGAGAGTCCCTCTCCCAGATGATGCAAGCTGCAATGGAAACACCCAAGAATGTCCAGCAGAACAATGCGCAAAACGCCATCCTTTTCGAAGCCATCAACCTCCTCATCCACCTCGACTCTGAGCACAATCTCATGATGCAAATCTCCACCCGTCTAGGCAAATACATTCAGTCTCGGGAGACTAACGTTCGATACCTTGGTCTGGATGCGCTGACCCATTTCGCCGCTCGGGCTGAGACCCTTGACCCGATTAAAAAGCACCAGAACATTATCCTAGGCTCGCTCCGAGACCGCGACATCAGTGTTCGTCGCAAAGGATTGGACCTGTTGTACAGCATGTGCGATACCAGTAATGCCGGCCCCATTGTTAACGAGCTTCTTCGATATTTGCAGACTGCCGATTATGCCATTCGAGAGGAAATGGTACTTAAGGTCGCCATTCTTACTGAGAAATACGCCGCCGATGCACAATGGTACATCGATATGACATTGAAACTGCTCTCACTGGCGGGTGAACATGTCAACGACGAAGTATGGCAACGAGTGATTCAGATCGTGACCAACAACGAAGAACTACAAGCTTATGCAGCACACACTCTGCTAGGCTACCTGAAGTCTGATTGCCACGAAAGCTTGGTGAAAATCGGCTGCTATGTCTTGGGCGAGTACGGCCACCTAATCGCCGAAAACGCAGGCTCAAGCCCTATTGAGCAATTCCTGGCTCTGCAGGCCAAAATGTTCTCCAGTTCCGACAACGCGCGGGCGATGATCCTCTCGTCATTTGTCAAGTTTGTGAATTTGTTCCCCGAAATCAAACCCCAGCTCTTGCAAATATTCCGCCTATACAGCCATTCCCCTGATTCCGAACTGCAGCAACGAGCATTTGAGTACCTGTCGCTGGCGACTCTCCCGACCGACGATCTGCTGCGGACGGTCTGCGATGAGATGCCGCCATTCTCAGAGCGAACCTCCATTCTACTTTCTCGGTTACACCAGAAAACAGCAGGCGCGAGTGAGAAGAAGACCTGGGTTATCGGTGGCAAGGACGCGAATGCGGACAAGCAGGAAATGCTCTTGGCACAGAACACCGGTCTCAAGCGCACCTTCACGACAATCGTCAATGGTACGCGCACTGGGTCCGGCAATACACCAGCCAGCCCGGCAAGCGCGTCGAATGCGGCCAGTGCATCGGGCGACTTGGCAGGCCTGGATCTCAGCGGTCCCACAGCCCCAGCTCCCAACATGGCCAGTGCTGCTCATCTGACCCCAGAATGGGACATCGGCTACAACCGACTGTATTTCTCGCGCGAGGGTGTGCTTTTCGAAGATGCACAGATCCAGGTCGGACTGCGCTCGGAGTACCGCGGTCCTATGGGTGTCGTGAAGCTTTATATCTCGAACAAGTCCACGTACCCCATCGGGTCTCTTACCACCACCGTCGACAACCCGGCCTCTCCTCAGTTGAAGGTCGACACGAGGAACCTGCCCGAACCAACAGTCGCGGCTGCCGGGCAGACACAGCAGACTCTGTTCTGCACCGCTCATGGTCCCTTCGCGGATGCGCCTACCATCCGTATCTCATACTTGGCCGGTGCTCTCCAGGCTTACACACTCCAGCTGCCTGTCCTGATGCATCGCTACATGGAATCCTCGTCTTTGTCATCCGAGGAGTTCTTCAAGCGATGGCGCCAGATTGGCGGTGGACCTCTGGAATCCCAGAAGACCTTTGCCTTGCTGGGTAAGAACAAGACTGCCAATGAGAGGTTCACTCGGAGGATTGTCGAGGGATTCGCATTCAAGATTTTGGATGGCGTCGACCCGAACTCTCAGAACATTGTTGGGTGCGCCGTGTACCAATTCGAGGGGGGTAAGACGGGCTGTCTGCTGCGGCTGGAGCCCAACTACGAGAAGAAGGTATGTATCAGAAGTCTTCCAATTCTTTTCGTATTGTCATGCTAACTCTTTCGTTCAGATGTATCGCGTCACTGTTCGTGCCACCCAAGAAGAGGTCCCCGGGCCACTGGTCAAACAGATGGAGCTGAAGCTGGCCCAGGGCGTGAGAGCAGACGAAGCCTTCGATTAAAGCGTCTGCAGGTGATATGGAAGCATTCATGTATATCTCTAATTGAATTATCGAGTAAAATATTAGCCAGTGTTCCTGGCGGAACATCGCATCTTTTGTATAATCCTTGCCAGTTTAGTAACAAATAGAGGTGCGATATGCTATACAAACGGTACATCTAATGATCAGCATCTTCAGCGGTGACACCAGAAGCCCAAACACTTTTAATCTTCACGAAATCGTAACTCATAACCACCCCCAGTCCTAAGTCAAACAATATTTGCCTCCGCCTTCGGCGGCCGATCCCCAAAGATCGTGGTTCCAACCCTAACCTGATCACTACCAAGAGCAATTGCCCCCTCAAAATCGGAGCTCATACCCATACTAAGCTCCAACTCAGCCTCATCCCCAACCAACCCAAGCTCCTTAACAACCCGATCCCTCGTCTCCCTCAAACAAACAAAATCCTCATTCTCATTCTCCACCGTCGTCGCCCGGGATCTCGCAATAGCCCCAATAGTCATGAAACCCTGCAACTTCAACCGGGGACACTGCTCACGAACATATCGACACAGCGCCGGCGCCGCAGCAGGCTCAACACCCGCCTTATTCTCCTCGCCAGATGTATTAACCTGAACATAGATACGTAGCCTCCCATCCTCGTCGTGGTTCGTAGCCGCCACCTCAGACCCCCTCTCCCCCCACCCCTTATCCAGCAACTTCGCCTTCTTTTCCGAGTCCACGCTCTCGACAGCCCACAGTCCGCGCACGTCCCGTGCCAGCGTCACGCACTTGTTGCTCTGCAACCCGCCAATGAAGTGCCATTTGATGCTTGCGGGCAGCAGCCGCGATTTCTCGAGTAGTTCTTGAAGGTAGTTCTCGCCGAAGTGCACTTGCGATCCTGGCGCTTGGTGCAGTGCCAATGCGTCGGATGCGGGCTTGAGCTTAGAGACGGCGACGAGGCGGATTGGTTTACTGGGGATTGGGGATTGGAGGGCCGCTGTGCTCACTCGGGCGCGCACCGATGTTAGGTTTGAGAGGAGTGTGCTGGCGCGTGCTGGTG